GACTTTCTCGTATTCATATGCCTCTGAATAGTAAACCTGGTAGCAGAGGTTGAAGCTGTTGCTTGGTATTCCTCAAAAGTCATCTTTGTTCCCTTGGACATCCTGTCATCTCACTACCGGCTCTGGTGTAAAAACCATTAGGGTGTCATCGGCAACACACAGGTTCTCTGGAATGCCATTTCACTATCGATGTCCCTTTGCTATCAAGGGAAGGCAGCTCTTCACAAACCTGAGTTAGTTAAAGATGTCCCTGCTCACTGCAGGGAGGTTGGATCTCAGTGTGTTTATGATTCTAAGAAGTAACCCTTCACTTAAATGCAGCCAGGATATACTGGACCTAGAACTGGTGAGCAGACTTTCTAATAACTTATGATCTAATGCAGGTCATGCAATTATTCTTGATTCAAGGGTTCCCTGAATAATTGTTCTTTCTTGCACAGAGGAACGTCTGGAATATTTGAAACAGCTGGTAATAATACAGAATAGGTATAGCACCATTCTTCCTGAAGGGACCTTGAAGGGTCCTGAAACAGTCAGTGACAGCAGGGGACTGCCCAGTGAAGGTATTTTTTTTGTTACAAGTATGGATGTACAAGTGGAAACCAAGTGGGCTGTCCTTTTGTGTCCCAGTTACCTTCTCCTAAGTGGTAAGTAAGAGCACAAGAGTTCATGAGATTGGTACCAAGAATGCAGGTATGGCTCCTGCAGTCTTTTAAAATACACTTAGTCTAGTGCAAAGCACGTGGGAAAAAATCTGTCTGTCCAGTTTGCTCACTTGTCCTGTCCCACTAACCACGAAGAAGAGAATTTGGAGGAAAGAGGATGTTGTTAGGAAAAGAAAATGTATTTTTTGTTTTGTTGATTACAGGATAATATATTCGTTCTTGAACATTAGGGTACAGATCTAACATACAGGAAAGATGTGACTCTGTTCTCCTTCCAGTGCTGAAAAGGACTCAGCTTTTCTTCTCCAGCCCTTGGTCTTTTCATTTCCTCCTCTAAGGTTTAGCAGATGTAGCGTGAGCAGCTTCCTCTCTCCATTGAGCTTTCTTCTCCAAGTTTATGCTTGTAAGAGTTTCATGCCTTTTTATAGCCTACAGCACAATAACAAAGCAAGAGCAGAAAGTGTTACCGAAAGGACCACAGAGATGAAACTTAAATCAGTAGTTTTCAAAATACCTGGCCTATCCTTACCAAGACAGTTCTGTCAGCGTTAATGCCAGGAAGAGAGAGCGTTAAAGCATCCAGACACTATTTTGGCTTAAACTCATTACTTCTCTGGGAATAAATTAAACCCTCTTGTTAAGGCACTAGAGGATATATTCTGTGCCTCTGGCCAGTATTTAGTATTAATCTCTGGTCTTCAGAAGTCAGAGGTACTGAAAACAAAAGTTAAACATAATAGATTCCAGCTGGTGGGAAAACAAGGGTCCCAAAGCAGCTGTCCTCCTCTCTTTCCGGTGTTTACATTCATAATACTCCAGTGTAAGAGGAAAATGTTCTGGGAATTGTCAGTGTTTGATCTCTTCTGCTAAAGCCAGGGAGAAACCTTTGTGCTGTTTTGCTTTAGAGTGCTGCATCCTTTTAATTTTGACAGGTGAATGCCGACAGAAGTGTCCCTTGATGGTTCAGTAGTTCACAGTGCTGGGCTTGAGACCCTGTTACTAGTTTTAAGGTTTCTCTAGAACACTGAGCAGTCTGTAGAAACACAGTCTGAACATTGTCATCTCAATTGCTTCAGCAAGGCAGCGTACAGATAAGACTCTGCCCATGTAGATGATTTAAGCTCAGGGTTTTCTGCCTTCAGTCATTCTTAAATGAACGTAGTGGACCGTGTTTCTGTTACCACTGTGCTTTTTACCCAAAGTAACGTGACAGTTAGTGGCACAGATGATATTCACGTTCCTTGATGTCAGTGCTGCTGAGAGGCGTTCGTTTGGCTTCAGTACACAAAAAGCGTTCCTTGCTTCTCTACAGAAATACCTCAAAGTTAATAGTTCACCAACTATGGTAAAAAAACACTTTGAGCATGACTAACCTTCGCTGTACTTGGAATCTTAAACTGTACACTTACTCTTCATGTGAAGGCAATTAAATCATAGAACAAATGCTGCCACATGCTGAACTTCTTTGCTATCTTGCTAAATTCCACGCAAGTGAGGCATGCTCAGCATCTACAGGACACGGGAGCTCTTCTAGGACATATTTTTTTGATTCAGCAAACAGTAATAATTTGAGAAAATTTGTTCCATCAACACTAAAGGAAGACTAAATGGGTCCATACAGTCACTGTATGGACCCCACTGGCCCAAGGAGCATTTACCTGACTGCCATATCCTCATAACAGAGAGTGCTCTTCCAAACTCTCGGTCTGGCAGCAAAACTGAGGAGTTAAAACAATGCATGCTAAAATTAAGCATTGCACTGAGAAAAAAAAGACTTCCCCCCCCCCTTTTAAAGGAAGTGTATACAGTCTAAGAGAGACATCATCCTATTCTGACTTGGGAATTAGTGAGGATCACTTTGGGGGAATTAGGACTTAACTTTTGCTGTCTGATAAAATGAAAAAAAACCCCACCCCCTCCAACAAAACATTACTAGCAATTCACAGGAGGAAGTGAGGAGTTGATGTGAAGACTGATTTGCACTCACCAGACAAAAAAATCTGCTTACCTGTTTCCCTCTAATCACCATGATTATGCACCCCAGTATGGTCAAGGCCATCATTACATAGCTAAACTTCACACGCAGTGTGGTCTTTGCTGCTCTGATTGTTTCAATCCTCAAGAAATAATAGAAGAACAGATGCATTACCAGAGACCCAAACAAATAATATAGGTAATTGTTTAATTTCTCCTAGCATGCTACTGATGTAGTTTTGTATAATGCTAACAGTACTGGACTCTTACCACAAAAAGGTTTTACAAGAATAGTAAAGGCTGATTCCCAGGACACTGGGAGATACTTGGTTACAAAGGTGTTCCTCTGAAACCAGAAACAAACCCAGCGTTTTTAACTTTGGTTATGTAATGGTCAAGAGACAATATCACCTTTCTGGACCAGTGGACTGCCGTGCAAAGGAGGAAAGCTATAGTATTTAAGTGTGTATGGTCAGTACGGAGAGGACAGGGAAAAGAGAGGGATGGTTTTACTAATATGATATTTTTCTTAATGTTACCTCCCTCTGTGCTCATCACCTTCCAGCATCTACAAAGCCAGGGAGCGCTCCACCCATATTAGAACTGTGGGGTAATTAACGCTGTAAAATACGCATTTTCCCCTCAAGATAAGTGTAGTAAAAAACCTGTTTTGTCAGCAGCAATAAAATACATAGCGTTTAGCAGTGTGAATTTCTTGGGCAGAGGAAGCATGGTCATAGCTTAGCAATTCTTCAGAATAGTTGTGTTTATGATGCAGTCTATTTTCCACCAAGAAGGCTTCCTCTACTACAGCTCTGATAGTGCTACAGATTACAGGCTGGCTGCTGAATGTTGTAATACTCCTCAGAAATTCTGAATAGGACTTGGTAAAAGACCAGTGGTTACCACTTCCCTCCTCTAGAGTAAATAGTTTTAAGGTATACTCTTTTCCTAAGAAACTAAGGAGGTGTGGAGGATTGTAAGCTTTCCAACAGCAGCTTTGGACAGAGGACTGCCTGTCTCAAGCCAGGACACTCCCTTTAATTTTTTTTTTTTTTTTAAATTTTTGTGGCTTACTTAGCCACACCAGTAGCTCTACTACTCCTTTGGGAAACCTGTTACATAGTCTACTGTTACCTTTTCTACAACAGCAGTTATTAAAGCCTTCCAGCTGTACAAATGATTAAAACAAACAAAAAAATCATTTAAAGTTAAACTCGGAAGATCATTCCACCCAAACGACATCTTGGTTACAGCAAATTTAAATGTCATATTGGAGACACTAATGCAGGAAGGGCCAATGAAGCAAAATGCTTTTAGATGTGCTCCCCATGGTAACCAAAGACCTATACCCTATATATTTAAGTCTCCTTGCAGAATTTAGAGCAGGTGACTCTCTTCTCAAGAGGTCTCATTTTCTCACTGATTCAGTTCAGCCCATTATAAGATTACAGATGAGTAGAAAAACATCAACATTGTGCGATGAAAGAATAAACGCATCAAACGAGATAATTATACCCCAAAACTAATATACACAGTGGATTTAATAGAACTGGGAAGATACCACTGTATACAAACATTTTAACTTGGAGGAAAAAAGATACTTGAAGGATCCACGTTAGTTCGACACGGGACCTGAGAACTGGAGAGAGATCTGTTCTTGGTTTTGAAAAGCAGGGCAAGAGTGATTTGGTCACTGTTTCACAGTTTTGATCTGAGCACAAGATTTCTGGTCGTGGGGACACCTCCCACCTACCGTGAAACTAATAGTTTAATAATTTATCTTCCAGGTTATTTGTTTCTGCTAATAATTTGCAATGAACAACTTGGGTACCAGCTGCAATTAAGCTGAAATACACAGAAGTAGGATTTAAATACTTAATTAGTTGATTTTTTAAGTACCTTAGATATGTAAGAATATACAAGTGGAAAAGGTAGCTACTTGAGCACAATTTGCATTTTAAATCAATTCAGTGGCTAACATGTCTAGTAAAAAAGTTACTTCTGATCACCACATCTTGTACTGAGTTCTATCACAAGCCCTTACAACCCACTCTTAATTCAGCTCAGAACAGGAAAAGAAGCGTTTGTGGTTTTATAGTTCTCAGTTGTCTTCTCAGCTTTGGCTGAACTGTTTGTCTAAATAAAAAACAAGAATTCCCTATGCACTTGCAAAATTGGTCACCTTTTATCAGAAGTTGATTTGTCCTTTTAATAAACCATTGGAATTACTTCAATCACTCTGCTATCTCTGTTTTCTTAAAAACACTCGTCACATGTTCAGTATGCAAAAATATATGACCTGATAACTTGGTAAGTTTCAATAAATTACACATTTATGCATTTCAAATGTAATTTTCAGAAAAATAATTCAATACAAAACTGAAGAATTTGTTTTTTAAAATATTTATCCATTGTGATACATTTATAAAAAACCTTAGATACATGGGTGAATTTTCAGTTCCCTTAGGGTGTAACCAAACAAGTATCTTTGGAGGGCAGTTACATAGTTTGCTTAACCAAGTAGAACAAGATTTACCGTATCTTTTTAATTTAAATACATACATCTACTTAGAAGCATTACAAGCATGTTTTAAAAGATAACTATACTACCACTGGGAATATTTTTTTAAAATCTAGTAAGTGCCTGCTGTTGTTAAGTTTTACTTTAATTTTAGGTAGGCAAACCAGAACATCCAGTTTTATTTGCTACTTTTCACACAGGACAAAGCATTGACATTTGGACTCCACTGTCAACAGGGAAATTCTGACTATATATTTTTTCTGTTAGGGAGCTTTTCCACTGTTTGCTACTTAAAATTCCAAGAGTAAAGTTGGCCTGTGCCCTCTACACATTCATTAATAGGTATTTTAAATTATTTTCAGTTAATTTATAACTATATGGTGAAAGCTTCACACAACGGGAGACTGACATATAAGGAAAAACACTAGAAAAAGCTCACACTGATATTTGCAAGAAGCTTTTTTGATTGGGAGAGCAGGAATTAACTGATTTGTGATGTTCTTCTAATGAAACAACTGATAGATGCTGTTCAACCCCTCAGAAAAAAATAAAGGATATACTATCTCAGCAATACTGAATTGCCCAGGTCATCTCATCTACAAGACCATACACCAAACACAGCAGCGTAAGGTTTTTCAGCTGTGAAAAGCCATCCCATTTAAGAAAAGTTATTCTGGAGTTAACTTCAAAACTGGTACTTACGAGACTGTCTCTGGGATATCCTCTGTTTTTTTGAAATTGCCTGCCCACAACAAAAATCTTTTCTCCCAGTCTGTAGGCTTGTGTCCAGGCACCCTCAAGGGAGACCGACCTACAAAAACCAACCCCAACAAAAACCAGACAAACAAATAAAAACAAACACACACCAAAACCAACAGTCAAACAGCTGAACTGTCCCAACTGTAATGAAACCAGTTAGGGTGAGCAATGCAGAATTTTACATATCGTTGCTAGAGTTGCTTAGGGAGAAAAACGTGTATCACAGATCAACAAACCTGTAAATATGGATTAAATCAAAGCCACATAAGGAAAGCCAAATCTTGCCCAGGACGTCCATATTTGTAGCTCTAAATTGGCAGAACCTGTTCCAGTGCCTAAGCTTCCTAAGGTGCTGTTATACTATAGTTCTCCCATTACATTTAAATTAGCTCAAAAATCAAGTGGAATTGCTACAGAAGGGCCAGTGTGCTGCACCATTACATCACAGAATGTTAACTTTTCCAGGGAGTGTAAGATTTTATTTGGAGGTATAAACAAAGAGATGCCCATAGGCCAAGATTAGACCCGTAACTTCCAGGTTAGTCTTTCAAACTCCATATATGAAATACTCAGAATGCAATAGGAGAAGGCTTCCATACATAACACACCATTAAAATCTTAGAAAGTGCAAAGATAGGCAGCTTTTTTTTTTTTCTTTTAACAATAGGAGGTATCCTGTGTGGATGCGTGCTGCCTCACAGATTCCTGAATTATCTAGGAAGCAGGGTGGATACACAGTTTGCTGACAACACCAAGTCATTCAAAACATAGAGGAGAGGGCTGAGCACAGGGCTTCAGAATCCCGAGCCGATGAGATGGCCAGCGAAAGCCCGCGTATATAACCAGGAAGCGATTTCAGTTCACGTACGAACGACAGATCTGAACATAACTTTTATGGCTGAGGAGTAAGTTGTCAGGGTTTCGTAGAGTTTTTCGGCAAAACGTTCAGTAATAGTCAGAAACAGCATTACTAGCACTGATTAGGAACACAGACCAACACAAAAGCATCATTATGCCATTGCACAAAAACGCGTGACTCCAGCATTTTGAGAAGCACATGAAATACCAACCCCTTGTCTCAGCAACTGCTGAATGAGAATGGGCACACGGAAAGCTTGTAAGGAGAACTGCACATAGGGAACAGCTACGACAGAAGAAACAGTGTTACAGACTGGGATCCTTTGGCCTGGAAAAGCAACAGTTGAAGCTCCAGTCAGCACAACAGAGGGCAGCAGAATAGTAAGAGACATTGGGGGTGTGGGTTATAACAAACGCGTTCAGTTTTGGTAGGGGTACTGAAGAAAGAAACATCGAATTGAAAAAAGCACGCACTGCTTTCAAAAACAAGTGCAAGACTGGACTTGTTTTCTCACAGCACGGTTCAGCTGAGGAATTCCTTCTCAGAGAATGTGGGTCCTAAAAATAACATCCAGCTTCAAGAGACTGGGCAAATTTACCAAAGGAAAAAACAGTGGAAGAGCATTAAACAAAAAAAATGGCACCTCTGGGACAGCAGTGTAGAGGAGAAAAACTATGTTTGCCCTATTTCTATATTCTTCCTTATATCCTTGATATTGGTCACTGTTCCTATTAGTCTTCACAAATATGTAAGGGACCTCCTTTGCTGACCACTACGGGAGACACCTCGCTACTAAGGAGACCTTTGGTCTTACCCAGTATAGCTGTTTTTATGTTTTTAAGACAGAAGTATGCAAAATGCTTCACATCTGTGTGCTCCTTCTACCTAGCATCAGTTGGCCATGAACAGAAGTCTGATTAAAGCATCGTAACTGTTCCATATACCATGAGAAAAATGTTTCAGGGCCTGAGCTTTACGTGACCACCTTCACCAACAGTAACCAAGCCAACAGTTCAGACTCTCTCCTGCTTGGCACGTTCAGTTTTGTCAATAGCTGGAGCTGGCTGTACTGCGAAAAGTTGCGAAAGTATGACATATGACATTCCTAAACATCAGTAGCTTACACTGAGGTTGAACAGTCAGTTCTAGAGGACAATGAAGAGCCTCCACATAGGACTGCACATCAGACAAGGTACTAGTTATCCGTTACAAAGCGAAAGCTGTGTTATTGTCACAAGGAGAAATATTGAACCCCGGCTTTGTTAATAAACAAAGTTTTCTTGCTACATTTAACACTCAGTTTTTCAGTCTAAAGATCAGAATTCCCCCTAACAAAACCAGGGCTATTAGCATCTACGTAGGCCAAATTCCTGTTCAGATGACTGCAGCCTGGATATCTAAGTATTTTGGGGCATGAAACATAGCATTATCATTATAAAAACCTCTTACTTGGCTGAGGCTCACTTCCTTCCTGGGGTTTAATGCAAAACCTTCTGCTTATCATCGGATCCCCTCCTTTAGACATCCTCAGAATTGAGGGAACATTTCTTCCCAGCAGTTTAACAGCCTGATCTGGAAGAGAAAGCAGAGGAAGTAAAAAGGCCCAAACTAGCTTCTAAATGGGAGTGTTTAGGTTATTTTAAACACAAGATAAAGAAGAAATAAACACAATAGGTATAAATCTAACATTACCCAAGAAACACCAGATTTAGTTGTGACAGAGACTACCAAAGAAAGTTTGTCTATAAGCTATGACCTGAGCTTGCCATTGACCTTATTTAGAAAAAATTGGAAGATTACAGCTTAAAAGTAATTTCTAAAACACAGTGCACATCATGATTTCAAGGAACTTATCTATTCATATGCTTCAAAAATACTTTGGATGGAGCTATTCTGAGGGTCTTGCACCAGCAAGTCAGAGACTTGGCGAGAGTCAAGAATAAAAGCCAAAAAGAAAAAATCAAAAAAAGAGAGAGGAATCTTGTGGTGTATTTAAAAAAAGGACAGGGCACCTTATAGATGAAAACACACTCTCAAGAAAGAGCTTCTAATTCATTAATATAATGAAAATACTGTGAGGGGGAAAAAAAACAGTTTCAAAGGCAAAAATTAAAAACCCCAAAACATAAGATGAGGGTTTTTTCCTCTATACACTGGCTGAAAAGGTCTCTCCTACGTGCAGCAGCTGCCCCTTTATCTTACAGGCATAATTCCAGCTCCGAAAATAATTAAAATAAATATTTACATTTTTAGGCGAATGCTCCCCCCTCCCCCCAACAAAATCCTCAGAGAAGAAAAAAAAATTTAAAAAAAAGGCACGAACTGTCAAATTTTTCGTTTGTTTTTAAA